CCTCCTGTGTCCTGGAAAGTATCTTTGCAAGTCATGATTTTCTTCTTCCTGATTTTCTATGATGTAGGACTTATAGAGAATCAAAACAGTACAACTAGGTAGGAGTGAGGGGACTAAAAGGAAGCAAAGTTACATAACAAAGAAAATGTTTTTTTGTTAAATGTTCATTGTATTTAAGTCGAGTAATGGGAGGCAAGTAAATCATCTCTTTATGCCCCTCTCACTGACTGTTTATCTAGAACCACAGTTTTATTATAACATATTCAAGCAAGAATACTCAACTTTTTATAACATTTGCATTCACCTTGAAGTGCAGTGAAACTGAAATGTGTATTTGTCAAGTTATAGAAAGGAAGGCCAAAAGGAAACAAAAAGCCCTCAAAGATATTCCATCCTAAAATGGTGTGCCCTGTTCATAAAGTGAGGATTTAACCCTGCATCTCTGGATTTTTGACTTTTGTGCAAGTGATGACATGCACATTTCTTGTGTGTGCATGTTTAGAATCTGTAAATTATTGAGTTTATGATGATTTCTTTCCACATTTCTTAGACAATTTCTTAGCTCGATGTATCTAACAAATCAGACAATGCTGACTTATTTTATCATTAAAGGGATTTCTGAGGATTCGAACCTTCAAGTTCCAATCTTCCTCCTGGTTCTTCTGATTTATCTGGTCACTCTTGGTGGAAATGCAACCATTCTCACGCTTGTCTGTCTAGATCCTGAGCTCCAAACCCCCATGTACTTCTTCTTGTGTGACTTGTCCATTTTGGACATGTCCTCCAGCACAGTCACCTTATACAAGATCCTTATTAGCTTTTTATCGGGAGATAACACCATTTCTGTAAAAGCTTGTATGACTCAAATGTTCATATTCACATCCCTAGTGTGCAATGAGCTCTTGATACTGACAGCCATGAGTTATGATCGCTATGTTGCCATCTGTAACCCCTTGCGTTACTCGACAGTTATGAGCCGTAGAATTTGTGGCATTTTGTCTGTCGCATGTTGGGTTCTGGGTTTCTTAGAATCTTTGCCTCATATTATTTTAATATCAAGGTTTACTTGCTACAAATGAAAGGACATAAACCATTTCTTCTGTGATATTGTCCCTCTCATAAAACTTTCCTGCAATGATACTTCACTGTCAGACTTTTTGATTTTTATCTGTAGACTTTTTCTGGCCACTTTTCCATTTCTTCTCACTTTCATCCCTTACATCTTCATTATTCACACTATTCAGAATATTCGCTCACAGAATGGAAAATATAAAGCTTTCTACACATGTTCCTCACACCTCACTGTGGTGATACTGCTCTATCTGACCCTTGTCTGTCAATACTTAAGACCAGCTTCAATGGACGCAATGGAGTCCAACAAAGTTTTCTCACTTTTTAACACAGCTGCTGTCCCCATGCTAAACCCATTGATCTACAGCTTAAAAAATAAGGATGTTCAAGCTGCACTCAAACGTTGTTGGTGTTGAATCTTGCAAAGATGTGAATATGTATTCAATAGTGATTAAAGGAGAACTATGGGGGTTAGGGCTTTTCCCCATAGTTCTCCTTAGGGTAACGGGAGGACACAAACTAGCGTCCTCCCATCACCCAAAGCTCAGTATACCGCGAGCTACAGCTCACGGTATACTGAGGCGCCGCAGCCGAAACGGATCCCGACAATTCTGTCTGGATCCGCACAGCTGCGTGAGTGACAGCTGGCTCTGCCTATCTAGAGGCAGAGCCAGCTGTACCCACCCCTCCCCCGTCCGTTCCGCCAGTCAGCGCTGGAGGATTGGAGTGGGGAGGGGGGAATCCAGTCACTCCCGTCACGGCTCTCTGCCGTGACAGGATCGAGAAGTGAGCGAACGCCGGTATGTGTTCGCTCACTTCCCGATCTACTGAGCCGACCTGTGACAGTTTCTTTGTCACACGTCGGCTAGAACAATGAGGTGAGTGAAAATCACTCACCTGATAATTCTCCTTTAACAAGATTTATGTGTATTCAAAAACATGTACCAGAATCAAGAACTGTCCTTAACATGCTTGGCTACCAATCAGTTCACAGATGTCTCGCTGTGCAGATTTAAAGGGCCTCCTTCACACAGCGTAAAGTCGGGCCGTACAGATCTGTGCAACATGCACGGCCGTATCGAGCCGTTCCCGGGAGGGGCAGGTGCTGCATGTGATTGCACGCAGCAGCCTGTTCTTCCCTATGGGAGGATGCGGCCGTACGCTGACATACGCACACCTGAACTGCACATCCGTGCGAGTCTGGATGTCTGTGCTTGGATACAGACAGGATCCATCCCCAATAATCAGGCTATGTGTGGCGTTTTCATCTGATGCTGAATGGCTGGGATTGTCACTGCTTTTCACTCCCCAGGATTGCTCAGATTTGGGCGTTGCCACATCTAGGCATATAAACTAGACTGAGCTGAGTAAATAAGTTACCAGACACTGTACAGAGTATCTGTTTTCATTGACCTCACCTAGCTTTCGAAAGAAATGGGGATCAGTCAGGCCAGCTCTGTATTCTATCATATGCATCCAATAGTCAGCGCTGACCATGTATCATCACTCTCTTCAAACTAAAGGATCTTCCTTGGAGGAAGGCAGCAGACCACATCCGACAGGGAAATCTTCGAATACATGAAAAGCAAACAAAAAGGACAGCACCTTCACCTTGTGAAGTATATCAAATGTATTTAATAAATAATAAAAAGAATAAAACTACTCACAAATGGAGTTGATCATATATGCATGTATGTACTGGTTACCATGGTAACCGACAGGACCGGTCCATGGTATATATCTGCTGCCAATACTTCTTTGCTGTGACATGTGATGTTTGGATGCGGGATATCAGTACGTACTGTACATGCATATATGATCACTCTGTATTCCATATGAAGAAGGCTGAGGCAAAAATGTTTGTCCCGGGACACAGAGAGCTTGCGTCCCAGTACAAACAGATCTCCCATTCCGCTTGTAATGTACCATGTACGAGTACAGGAGGATAGTAATGGACAGATGCGGATGCTTTCAGTCCATCATAAACCTGAAAGGGCACCGCGGTTACATCTGTGCGCACACATTTGGAATTCTTGCCGCAGGAATCTCCAACCGCAGCATGAACGCCGTGGGCATGAGGCCTTATAGTTAGTTTATAAATTCACTTGTTTAGAAATCTCATTTATTGTTTATTTGTTTCGGTCTGTTTTGCTTAGTGACAAAATGACATAATTCATTGAAGCAACAGGATGCTGTGTTGTCAAATAAAGGCCGTTAACCCTTTCGTGATCAGAGGTCATTGAAACCTGGATGCCCCAGATATAATTAGCAGTTTAGCATACATTGATTAACTTAGCTATAACTCCATATTTCTAATTCCTATACCTAATCACTTGTACACAGTGCCTTACAAACAAATTCACCTCCCTTGGCTTTGTTCCTGTCTTATTGCATTACAACCTGGAATTTAAAAAAAAATATTTCAGGGGGTGTATCATGTGATGTACAAATGTCTACCGGTTTGTAGATGCAAAATCATTTTTGTTATGATACAAGCAATTAAAAATATTTTGCACCTACAAAGTGGTAGGCATGTTGTCCCCCTCCCCCCCCCCAAAAAAAAAAAAAAAAATCAATTTTAATTCCAGGTTGTAATGCAATAAAACAGGAACAACACCAAGGTGGTGTATACTTTTGCAAGGCACTGCATATAGTTTTACAGCCTCTCAATACAAATTAGTAAACTGAATGTGAAATTGTAGTCCATCACAGTAGTGAGCTTGTAGCGGTGACTACTTTACAACACACACAGGGACAATGGGGAACAAAAGTAGTCACCCTCCAGAAGTCCAGAAGGAAGGACAGCGTCAGTACAAATTCAGAGATGATTTGAGGATCTACAGCTGAGTGATACACAAATAAGATAGATTTTTGTTAATAGTTCAGGTACTTGAATGTAGTTTGAAGATTTAACTCCTGAGTGTATTGTCACTTTAACTGAACAAACTGAAGAGAGAAGCTTATTGGTTACCATGGGCAACTGCTCCAGATACTGTCTGCATCCATTTTTATAAATTGCCCTCTGTGTGTGTGTGCAGTGTCGTCACAAGGGGGGTGCGGCCCGCACCCGAGTGACACCATTGGAGGGGTGACAGTCATTTTGGTGTCACCCTCTCTAGAAAGTCGGGCACTCGGTCATGGACTGAGAGCCCCATAGTGTCAGGAGAGAGGAGGGGAACCGGCGGCATACCTGATGACATCACACGCATGTGCGATGATGTCACGGCGGGGTGTCACCCGTTCACCGCTCCGGGTGACACCCGGCCTCGGGACGCCCCTGCTGTGTGTGTGTGTGTGTATATATACATGTATATATCAGATATTTTTATATTTTGGAAACTGGGTTTGTAACAAACATTACCAGAAAAGAGATTGTGGATTTTTAGAATTCTGCGCTTTTCGCACTTAATTCTAGTGCAGGGGGAGGACATTTATCCTCTTTTATAACCACTATAACCATTAGGTTCTATTTGTTCACGTTTATTGATGATAAAAGAGGCTTTCTTTCTGATACAGCTCCTCCCAAAAGTGGGGGAATGCATTTGCCTGTTATGTTCCTACCGTTGGAGAACTACAGGTCCCAGCAGCCCCTCCTATCCTAGGCAAACAGGATGTCCTGAAAAATATTAGCATAACCAATCCCATTTTGAAAGAATTAGGTTTACTTCCTCTGTAATTTTACACTCAGGCCTCCGCACACTGTAAAAGAATAAAACCCATCACTACCAACACAGCAGGAAGTGTGAGATAATATCTTCACTGTGTCCTGATTGGCAGATCCGTGGTGATTGTCAGTAGGACCGATGCTGCTATTGGCTCCTGGGAGTTGCAGTCCACTCCTCATTCCAGCGTCTGCCCCAGTCAACCATAGGGAACTACATTTCCCAGAAGGCTTTGCCTCGGGAACCAAAGGTCAGCCAATGAGCGCGAAAGGATTTTCATATGACTACGCCCACCGAGACCAGACGAGTCCTTGATTACAATAAGGTACAGTATAGACTGTGTTTTGTATTTATGGATGCGGAGTATCAGTGTGAAAGGTGAAGGTAAAAAGCTGAGTGCTGTCTGTAAGGACATAGGATGGTGCCTGCACACACTTCCATAGACAATGCACTGTACACAACGGCCGGCTGCAGCAGGGCAGAAGTTACAGACCTTCCAAGCAAAGTACAATGGAATGCAGATAGAGAAATAGATTATTACATCCCATAGATCGCACTCCATAATCACTATATATCACAGATCTGGATTGTATATGTTGTGGTATCTGTGATGCTTTCTGCTCTCCAGTATAGATATAGAATATTTTGTATAACTGGATTTGTATATGTTATAGTATCTGTGATGCTTTCTAGTATACATACCTGGAATACAGAATACTTTGCTATACTTCTATTTTTTATATCTGGACTTATATGTTATAGTGTTTGTGATGTTTTCTTCTTTCCATTGTATATACTTGGAAATACAGACAACTTTTAGTATGATGTGCAATACTTAGGCAGCACATTGAAAATGTATGTGTGTGTGTAATATAGAGCAGGGGTGGACAAAATAATATGGTGCTCAAGAACCAGTCTGTTCAATCCAGCAGTGTACAGGATTTGTTTTTAGGAGACAGCTCTATAGACAACAATTAGAAGAAAGTTCTCAACCTCAAAAGTTAGGCCCCTGCTGTCATTTTTTAGGAGCATTGCCTGGCTCCTGGGATTTGTCTAGCCTACATATATATAACTATACATACATATACATACTGCTCCCTCTCTTAGAGTGGAACTAAAGTTAAAGTGACACTATACTCTTAAAAATGCATTCTAGTACCTTAACTATTAACAAAAATGTATCTTATTTGTGTATCATAATAGAAGTCACCAGCACTCGATGATATGTGCAAGAAGTAAAGCACTTTTTATTCAATCGTCACATGTGTCAAACAGCCAACGTTTCTGGGCCAGACAGGGTCCCTTCTTCTGGGCGACATAGTGACTTCTATTATGGACTGTATCTGACACGGCACCATCCGTGTTGTCACTTCAAGCACCAACCTCCTACTCAAGGTCTGTATGCTGTACGGAGTGCAGGTGATTTTGTATTATTTATTTGTGTATCACTCGGCTTTAGATCCTCAAATCATCTCTGAATTGGTGCTGACATTGGTCCTTCCTTCTGGAGGGGGGCTATTTTTGTTCCCCATGGTCCCTGTGTGTGTTGTAAAGTAGCCACCGCTCCAAGCTCGCTCCTGTGATGGATTACAATGTCACGTTTAGTTACTAATTTGTATTGAGATTGTAGTCTATCAATCTTAATTCCAGGTTGTAATGCGATAAAACAGGAAAAACCCCAGGAAAAATAAATTTGCAAGGCACTGCATATAGTTTCACAAACAGCCACTCAGTACAAATTAGTAAACTAAAAGTAAGATTGTAGTCCATCACGGGAGTGAACTTGGAGCAGTGGCTACTTTACAACACACAGGGACCATGGCAAACAAAAGTAGCCACCCACCAGAAGGAAGGACAGTGTCAGCACCAATAAAGAGATGATTTGAGGATCTACAGCCGAGTGATACACAAATACATTTTGTTAATAACTAAGGCACTTGAATGTATTTTTAAGGTTTAATTCCTGAGTTTAGTGTCACTTTAAGAATAGCTACTGTATATGTCACAAAGTGGCGGGAAATACCCTTTCCACAACTGATTGTACTGGGGGGTTGGAGGGTGTTGGTCACAGTTTTGTGCAGGTTGGGTGAACTTGGTTTACATCAAGCCCCCACATATCACTGTTAGTTGGTCACATTCATCTGGATCTGTTCTGTAATGTTGTATACATTTCGTAGCTGGTATGGATGTTTCTTAGTGGTTTGGAAAAGTTACAAAATGTCTTCAACATTACAGAACAAGTGCAGTTGAATTTGACTAACTACGGCTAGCTAGCCAATGGCATTAGCAATATTTTACTATGGCAGATGTGCTTGCCCTGCCATTGAGTATTTTATGTTAGCTCATTCTCCAGAATGTAAAAACAGGAAAAATACACAGGGAGAAATAAGACTTTCTTGTAAAGGCCGTGCCTTGCTTGGAACCCCTAGCAGTCAACCAAATGTTTGGTAATGCAGCTCCAAGGCTACCAGCATCGGGCAATGCTGCTGTGTTTTCTTTGGGTTCATAGCCCACCTTCAGAAACCCATCTGTAATCAGCTTGGGCTTTATCAGGCAGGTATAGTCTGGCCCTAGAACCCTATTTCAGAATAATGCAGTTTTTAGGGAAAATGGGGATGGGGCAAACAAAGACAAACAGCTCTGCAATAGTCATAGAGCTGCTTTGTTGGCCTGTTAAAGTGTATGGCTGTGCAGAGTAACATAAATAAATACATCTCTGCACTTTTCTTAACATTTTATTGCTTTAGAAGTGCTGCAAGTGCACAAAAATGCCTGCTGGCCTGCCAGAAATGTGTTGAGTTTTAATTTCTGCAGTGCCTCTGCTGCACAGCAATCCAAAGTATCATTGTCAGTCCTTCATGAGTTCTCCCTTGGTGGACTACAGGACTATGCCTCTTCCTGCCCATCTCTGTCCCATTTTACATGTATACATTGATTTGTTTCCCAATAAAGTAATGATGATTCCTTGACTCCAAAGAACCTGCCCACGCACAGTGTGTAGGTTAAGGGCTCTAGGAGATGTAGTTCTGGGGGCGTACCTATGTCAGTAGGAACTGATGTAGGGCACCCTGCTGATCCCTCTTTCCATCAGTTGCTCCTGCAAGAATTTGACATGTCTGGTGAGTCACAGAGAATAATAAAAACTAGTTTTCACTACAGGAACAAGGTTAGAGAGAAAATTATAATATTGGGACATGTTGTGGAGGGGATGAGGGTGGATTGGGGGTAAAATTGGGTTAATCTTCAAAAGTGGAAACATTTTTTAAATTGGTACTTATATGTAGTTCTCCTTTATTGAGGAACTCCAGGCCATATAGAAATTAAGGGTTAACTGCTCATTTTGGTCTGGGGGCTAAAATAAAGAAAACATACTTACCTGATCCTCAGTCCTGCGCCGGTGTCTTCCCAGCTCTCTCCCCCTCTGCCCTGGCAGTGGAATGTCGCTCGGCATCCTCACATATAATGGAGTTGCATTAGACATGATGATGTCATGGGTCCTTAGACCGTTGGAGTACGGGGGAGAAGAGGCTGCAGGGACCGGTCCAGCAGCCAAAGGGAGACCAAAGGTCAGGTGAGTATATTTGTTTTATTTTAGCCGCTAGACCAAATTGAGCAGTTAACTCTTGCAGTGCAGGGATAGCCAAACTACAAGGGGTACCGTAATTCTTTCAACAGTTCTACCAGCTTTCTCAGCTATATCCATACAGTCTGTTTTAAAAATGACTCAATCCCCTTACAGGTGTCCACCATGACCAAGTGCATTGTTAAGAACTGTCACAGTACTTCTGGGACGGACAGTGGGGTGATGCTACATGGCTTTCCAAGCTCTCTTGACTTAATTAAACTTTGGCTGCAACAGACGGGTAACAGCTTCAACGACATAGACGCCTTTGCTCGGAACGTTCTCTATTCTAGATCTGGTCGCTATCAGATCTGCTCCAAACATTTCTCCCCGAAAAACTATGTTTTCAATGGCACAACAATGGTTCTGAAGCCCGATGCAGTTCCCACAGTTTCCCAAGAACCACAATCTGTCTCCAAAGCCCTACCAAGCCAGAAGGTCCGGGATGAAACAGACACACGTCTTCATTCTCCTCCATCCAAGGCTCATGTGGAGAATCAGCCCCCTTCACTACGACACAAACCAATACATCTACATACAGATGAGCAAGAAAATTCTGGATGTATGGAAGCTAAACAGTGTTCGACAGAGACCATGAAAATGATAGATAAAGCAGTCGGTACTGATCCATACTATGGTAAGATAGTCTTATGCTGGTCCTTATACTTATCTTGAAAGGTAGAGTATATTGTATTTTCAGTGAGCACGTATTTTCTGCAATTGCAGTGTTAACACCAATGTCATTTTTATATGACACTTTTTAAGCTTTCTCTTCCAGATTTGTATGTTTTAATACAGAGATTTGTATTTCTTTATAAAGTGTAGACATAGGATATTAGCCACATGGTAAATGCATTGTGATCAGTGTGCTGATTAACTCATAGTCTAGCATTGTAAGAAAGAGCAGTAAAGCACAATCAATGTATAGCAAAACCGTAAGCAGAGCCTGTGTATGTAATACACAAATATGGCTTTCCTCCACTATACATATATAATAGCAAGTTTTATACAGAAACAAGGTTTTAAGACATGAATGTATACCTTTTATTGAGGTCAGTCTGATCGCTTTTACATTTATATTTTTTTTAAAAAAGAGATTAAAATAACATACGTATTACCTGCAGCAACCAATCAAATTAGAGCTGTAATTCTTCCACTGCAGGTTAAACCAATGGCTTAAAAGCTGGTATAGAAATGCTTTGGACAGGCAAAGGGAAGCTTACTTGATCTGCTTGTTCTGCTATTTATCTGACCTCCTTATGATAGGAATTCTGAAAAGTAGAGTTCATGACTATGAGGTTAGGCAACAAAAGGGAGCTTCTGATTGGTTGCTGTAGACAATATAGAAAACTTCCCATTCGTCCCTTTGGGAAACATTACACTGCAATATACTAGTATCCACTGATTCTATGATTGTTGAATATCTCCTTTTCTCCTGCTTCAGCTGGGTGATAATAGGGGACTTTAGTCTGAATCAATCAGAGACACTCATCACCTTTTTTTCTTCTTGGGACTTAGAAATGAAGTCAAAGTTTTTTTGTTTGTATTTACTTCTCTTTTGGGTTCCTGGAATACATTTACTAATTGACTTCATTGATCCAAAGGCAGCATATACCAGCCTACTGCATGCTATCTGCTGATAGCACAGAGCCGCGCTACAGCCCGCGAAGTATACCAACAATATTGTGTGGATTCACCCGGCTGCCTAATTGACAGCTGGCTCAGTCTCTCTAGAGCCAAAGCAGCCATGCCCGTCCCCTCCCCTGTCTGTCCCTCCATTAAGCGCTGGAGGAATAGAGAGGGGAGGGGGGAATCTCTGCAGGGACAGTCCCCACTTTCTGCAGGGTGAAGAGACTGAGAGCTGGCCGATCACCGGTTACATGATCACTTAGCTCTTGGTATAAAGCCGGCGTGGGACAGTGCAGTGTCCTATACTGGCTCTAAACAACGGGGAGAGTATGTTTTACTCTACCAGCACTTCTTTATCAAATGTCACCAAATATTGGGGATACGTGCACATAAACCCATAGGATGAAGGCTTTCCATATACTGTAAATGCTTTAGTTTCTTATATAGATGCTATGTACTTATGCTCCAATCCTAAAAACACATTTCAGGTCTGTTATTTTAATAAATGATTAATTTTGCCATTTTTCATTTTGTATAATAAACATTTTTGTAAGGGTATACAGTTCTGTTTTTGATGTAGTATTTTTCGATGTTATACTATATTTTCTAGGTGTGATCCAATGAATCTTCAAACACATCCTCTTTGTTTTGGATCTATTAGGATTTTATACCATAGACACCAAATTTGTGAAAGGATTTGGTGTCCATAAGTTTTGTAATTATCAAACTTTCTCATTTGAAATGTTTTAGAATGAGGCTCAGGGTCTTGATTGCTGTAATATTAAGCAAACACTTTTGCTTTTTGTTGCTTTTGCTGCAGATATCATTGAGAGCAAAATTGAGAAGATGCTGAATAAAAGACTCTTAAACATTGCAATGGAAATAATCACTCTGCTTGCTGGTGAGGTGAGAACTATTTGATACTGTGTGATACTGCTTAATGACAGTTTGCAGTAAAATCTTTCACATTACACTTTGTCTGTGAAATAAACCCGACAATCCATTTTATTATATGGAGTAACTCTCCTCTACCCTAATGTCCAAGTTAGACTCTTTCCACAAAATATGGAACCTGTGGATCAACAAATACTACATACTGTTAATTATTGGACATAACCCTATCTTTACGGACAAAGCTCAGGATGGTCTACCTCAATAAACTGAGGCCAATCAGATAATTGCACACAACCAAAATTGGTAAACAATTTATTGTAGTAGGAAGGGTTATAAAAAAACCACAAATGTTGGCATCTTTAAAACTATTTAGTGCATTTGTTTATTTACGAACAATTTACAAATGTTATATTTTTGACTGGCTTATATTCCAGTCATGGGATGTGTGTTTCCGTTTTCCATAACAGCAGTCCTCTAAGGACTCCAAAAGGTGGGGCTGCACACATTTACCTTTTTCATTTAAAAAAAACTCCAAGCTGTTCCTCTCCTATTCTCTCCTCTTCAAAGTAGAGGAACAGGTTGGAGTGTCTCTGCCACTTGTTCAATAAAGTCCATTGAAACAATAAGGGAAGCGGTGTGAGTTTAAAGTTAATCAAAAGTAAGGGCACCCAGAGTCTGGCTGGTACCTGCTGCTGGAGTGTGTAGCCACATGTGGGATGACGGATCGGTGGTGCAGAACTATTAGAGAGCTGCTGTCTCCTAGTACACAGTAAGGGCCCGAATATATTGTAGGAATTTCTTATGCTTCTCTGTTCCATTTAGTGGCGGGAAAGTCTTGCAAAAGGCACTCACCCAGCATGTGAATAAATCGGACTCTTAGGGCCCATAACTCCACATCCAGATATCTCCAGACCAGACCAGATTGTTTCTGGACCCAAAATGCATCCTAATGTATCCCTATGCTATTTCTGGCCTCTGTTCACACCAGCGCAGTCCGTTCCAGACCAGACCAGAAAAATACTGCTTGCCTCATTTTGTCAGGTCTAGAATGCAATGGAACTGTGGGCAGGTTCACACCATTTTCCAGATCAGATCTGGTCCGGAAAATGGTGTTAACAACCTTAATTGTTTTCTTCTATTATACTGTATGTATCACAGAAACCCTTTTTAAATGTATCTGTTTTCTTCATGGTACAGGAATATATGATGGTAAAAAAGAACTCTGACGTGGCTAACTCAACATTAAAAAGGGAGGTGAGTATCACCCTGTACATGAGATATACTGGGTATAGCAGTGGTTTCCCTAAGATTTTATTTTAGCCAAGTGGGTTAAAAAAAAATGGCCTGATGGTCAGAAAAAGAAGAAAGCAGTATAAAATATAAAATGCTTGCATATGAATGAAATTGCCTTATGGTGCATACAAAGAGAATCTCTGTATTTAATTTAAATATAAAAGATGAGACTGTGCTGAGTTATTAAATAACTAACTATATCTAGACATGCTAACACATGTGCTTACAAAATGATGAAAAGCTATAATAACCAAAATTGTAAGTAGGCTTACTATGTTAAACCTAAATGATGGCCATTAAATATTTAACTACAACAGGCATATGTGGGAATACCTAACATGTTTTGCACAATGGCTTTTAAGTATGTGCATGTGTCCTAAATTTGTGAGCATTGGTCAGGGTGTCTTTTTTGCGACGTGTGACATTTAAAATATCACATGTCGGCTCTATTGATCGGGAAGTGAGCGATAACATACTGCCGCTCTGCTCACTTGCCGAACATCTTCCTGCAGAGAATTCCCAAACATGTCCCCACAGGAATTCCCCCCTTCCCTCTTCGATCCTCCAGCACTGACTGGAGGGACTGATGGGGGAGGGTGCAGCCAGCTGGGTGGATTTCGACAGTATTGTCAGGATCTGTTCTGGCTGTGGCGCTCTCAGCATATAGCAGGCATTAGCTAGTCCTCCCGTGATCCAAAAGAGCACTATAGTTCTCCTTTAATCACAAGCACCCTATGTGATACTACAGGCAGAACAGGTATCCATTATGACTGCATCAGGTGTTTTAGTAAAACCTGTTCCCTTCTCCACCTCCTCCAGCCCATTCGGATCAGAGAATCTTCAATCTGCCTGCACTGGATTTGAACCTGGAAATGCTTAGAGCTGAGCACTTCCAGGTTCATTCAGCCTAGAAGTGATCAGTGAATGGCAGTCTTCTGCTGCTCTCCATCCTGAATCCTGCTGTAGCAGTCCTTGGCTGACAGGAGCAAGGTGAGCCCAGGGACCATAATGGGGGAGCAGACTCTGCAGATTTTTTCTTTTGGGGGCGGGCTAGATTGCCAGGGAGCTGCCAAAAACATCCAGACAGAGCACCTAGGGAGCTAGCATTCAATGAAAAGTTTAGTTCATGTGTAAGTATTTGTATCCTTATTTCTTAGAGGTGCATATTCCTTGGGTTTCAGGTGCCTGTAAAATGTGGTGATGTCACAATCTCTTTCTCCATGGATGAATGGGATTATATAGAAGACCATAAGGATCTTTATCAGGAGATGATGGAGGATAATGATCAAAGGTCCAACAGTTGTCCACCCCCAGAAGAACCAGGTGATTCTCTATACTTCACAATAAAAGCAACCCTGTGGGTATCTCCGGGAACCCATCTGCTTAGGTTTCTCCACACTGCCCTTGTCGCACAAACCCTTTTCTGAAAGCTTTATGCAGACCTAGTACCAGTTGTATTCTTTCATGTTTATGCTAGGTAATAGGTAAGGTTAAATGTCAACCACTTCTTTGTTTTTCCCATAAGACTGGTGCCATCTTTGTTCAGGCGTCCTCCATGGTCTGCATCTGCTTCATAGATCAACCTTTTCACCCCCAGAGGAACCCTTGAATAAATGTTAGGTTTCAGGAAACCCCTGCTAGAAATAACATCCTACAGCTCATGTTACATTATTAAGATCAGTGAGAGAGATGTCCCTAACATTGGTGCCCAGTAGGTGAAGGCTACCCTTACATTGATAGCCTGTATTATAGTTTTTATCTTCCTGTGTATGTCACATGTTTTGCACTGACTGTTAATGCTGAAAAGTGCAGTTTTCTTTAACAATTGTATTGTTACTGTGACACTTTTGGAACACAACATTTTTAAGTTATTCATAGGTATGGCTTTAAACAAACCAAAAAAAACATTTTTCTAAAAAGATGTTATCTTCCTTTCATATAGCAGATCTCTGTTATGAAGATGTGAAACAAGTCTCAGTTACTGATAAGTGTGACGATGGCCAAAGCAGAGAGAACGTTCAACAGGTAGATGTTGCAACCAACACATTCACAGGTTAGTGATGGTTTATTTAGTGTATATTTATGCTTGACCTGATGTACAGTTGAATTATAAAAGATGTGTGAAGATCCATTCTATAGTATTGATTGGTCTCTGTAGGTGAATCAAGTACTGCATCAAGTGATCAAGAAACAGAAGAGCCTTGTGCAAGCAATTCCATGGAAAGCATTGTAGATCAAGAGGATACCTGTGAAGGTAAGTGAATGAAAGTGACTGCAGAAAATTATACAGATATAATAAGAGAGAGGGAAAACTATAATAGCTGTGGTCATTTTTTTAAAATTTAAGTTTATGTTTTTAAACTCATTGTATTTGAATTAATTGTTTTATACCTCATATCTTATGCAGTATATTTATTTTACAAATAAACAGGTTGTACCCATGGCACTGGTGTCATAAATCAGTGTGGAATTTCTAGAGAGAAAATAACAGTAGCTGTTTGTGTTCACACTGTATGCCTTTAATTACACAGATCTGTAAAGAGCAAGGAGGGAAGGGGTTTAGCAATACTGACTTATTAAACTTCACGTGTAATCTTAAATTCAGCTATTATGCTTGGTAACAACTGGATTTTTCTGAGATTTGTATTTATTTTTCGCAAAATCATTGAAGATGTGCCCAGTAAACATGTGAAATGCTGTGGCTGGAAATCATAAATATAAACGCATCAATGTACAACATTAAAAAATGAATTTGTTAATCCTGCAATCCTGTGTGTGTGTGTGTGTGTGTGTGTGTGTGTATAT